GATGAGCCAACATGAGTAATTGACAAACCTACTCCATTTCATCCCATATGCATCTTGTTGTTTCTTTGATATTCTGAAGCTGAGTTGAGGTTTGACATGTCAAAGTGACATGATTTGTTGCTCCAGAATCAGGGTACCAGCCAGAATCAGAGGCAGCTGAGCTATTGTCTTGATGTGCCATCATAGCTTGATAGTTCTGTGAGCTTTGAGAATTTTGATTTCTATCTCTTCCAAAGCTTCTTTGATTTTGAGAGTTAGTCTTGGGAGTAAAATTCAGATCACACATATAGTAGCATTTGTCTGTTGTGTGATTTGTGTAATGGCAGATTTGGCATGCATTTCTAGCTTGATTAAACTTCTCTCTCTCTCTCTCTCTCTCTCTCTCTCTCTCTCTCTCTCTCTCTCTTCCTCTTGAAGACCTGCCACCACCTCTGAAATTTTGGTTTCCACTTCCACCATTTGAACCTGAGGTGTTTTCTTTTTTCAAGGTCTGAGTGACTATATTTGCAACAAAGCCTTGGTTCTCCTCAGTCATTACACCATTAGCTGCTTCCAATTTTAACTCAAAGCTTAGAAGTAGAGCACAAACATCATTTAAAGTGAAATAATCTGGTTTTGAGGTTACTGTTACCACATCTGAGTCATATTCTGAGCTTAGTCTAGCAAGTATGTGAAGAATCTGGTCAGTCTCTTTGACTTTTTGTCCTGTAGATGCCAATGAGTCACAGCACAGATCCTCCTTTCTTCATTGTGGATAGTTGTAGTTTATACTGCATTTGCATAGCTAATGATTGGCTAGCATAATCTACCTCAAGGGTTTTCCACGTAGCATGTGCTGACTCAACTCCAACAAGCAGAACAAGTAGACTATCAGAGATGGAGGATAATTGTTTGTCCCATTTTTGTGTCTCTATTTCATGTTTATTTTCTCTTTGTTTTTCCCCACTTGTAGGATTTTAGTAGCTTATTTGGTCCATTTCTTTCATTTTGTGTTTTTGTCTTTAGTTTATATTTTTTTGTCTTTTTGCCGTGTTTTACTTCGTGTTTTTCCGTGTTTGTGTTTTCAGGAGGTAGGTTGTGTCGGTCGAGGTTGGGACTGCTTGAGCCGAGACCGTGATATCGAGAATACCCGTTGCCGAGCCCAGAAGACTAAAGGAAGGACGGAAAAACGGACAGAAAACACGTCCAGAATTTCTCGCGACTCGCGAGTCGTCTCGCGACACGCGAAACTGTCGCGACCCGCGGAAAAAATTGAGGCTAAAGGGCAGTACGGAGCACGAGTCGCGACTCGCGACTCGCGAGATGCAGTCGTGACTCGCGAGTGATGTCGCGACCAGACCTCATGAATTGAACATCTTGACAACGCGTGACTCGAGAGGATCTCGCGACTCGCGACTTATCTGAAAAAATTTCCAAGAGCGGGATTTTAATATCAGATTACGGTCCTAGGGTTCATTATTCACTTCGAGACTTTGTTTTACGCGTTTTCTCTAGAGAAACTCATTCCTTTTCATACTTTTTCTCTTTTGATTCGATTTGGAGATTGAAAAACTCCTTTTTCTCGCTTTGGATTTGGATGCACTTAAATTTGACATTGGATTCTTTATATTAATCGTAAGTTCCTTTTCTCAATTGCTTTGTTGATGATGATGGCTTGGGTTAATATGAATTGTGATATTAAATTCGTTATGAGTAGCTAAATCCATTCGCTAGGGATAGGGGATGATTGATTAGGTTCGTTATAATTGAATGCTTTTGATTGTTCATATCTATTCGAGTTGTGTGCATTATAGGGTTAGTAGATTGATCACATTTCTAACCTAGTTAATCAACGTGTAGAACCGAGAGGGGAGGGGTTAGTAGATTTAGGCTCGTTTGGAATAGACTTGTTCGTCATGGTATTGTCTATGAGTTGCTGGAATTGATAGTTGATCGTTTACTTTCACTCTCTTGTTACGAAGAGTTATTGAGAGTGAACCTCTGAACGAGAAACGATTCAAGTCCTTTAACTGAGCAATTGACTGTCGGTGATTATGTTAGAACTGAAAACAATTATCCTCGATTCCCTAGCTCTTTGATCATTGAGTGAATTTATTTGCCATTTTACTTTCATTTTGTTTAGCTTAAATCATTAGTTGATAATTGAAACCCAAAAATATTGAATTAGAAGGTTTAGGAATTTGTCTTATCTTTTTCGTGATTAAATAAACGCACAAGAGTATCCGGCTAATCTTCCTTCCGATATGACCCGGGGAACGAATCTTTTGATTCTACTCCGGTAAAAATACTGACAACAAAATTGGCGCTGTTTTCGGGGAAGGTTTAGGACTATAATTGTGTGCCTATTCGTTTTTTTTAGTGTTTCTCTTATTTTTGTGATTTTTCTTGTTTCCGTGTTTCTCTTTGTTTTTTTAGTTTAGTCTAGTAGTTCTTACTTTCTTTAGCTTTCTCCTTTGTTTATCTGGTGCTCGTGACGGTTTCTTTTGTCTTTGTGTATGCGTACCAAGAGTGGGCGTATCATAGGACCAAACGATGAACCAAGTCACGAGAGCGTAAGGGAGCTGTTCGACAAACTCAGCCTCGAATCTTCTGAAACCACAAAGCCAGACATGGCACTACAACACCGCGATCTCCTTCGAGACTTAGCCCATTCGACGATTTGGCCGATAACTTCATGCATCTGGTTGCCACAAGAAGCTCGGAACTACGAGCTTAAGATGATTCATTACAACCAGCTGTCATCCTTCCACGGGCTCCCGAATGAAGCCCGCTTAACTTTATTCGGGAATTCTACAATGTGCTACAGACCTTCCCTCTCCATGGGCTCAGGGAGGAGCAACTGAAGATGAGGTGTTTATCCGAGACACTGAAGGACCGGGCCAAGTCTTGGTTCATGACCCTCGCACTGGACTCTCTCACTACCTGGATAGAAGTATACACGAAGTTCATTGGGAGGTACTACTCCCATCAGAAGACCCAGGAGCTCCGATCCAAATCGTTTCCTTTGCTCAACTACCGAATGAGCCTCTTCACGAGGCTTGGGAGCGGTTCAAGGATCTCCAGCGGCAATGCCCTCATCACAACCTCTCTCTGGGGCTACTAATCAACTGCTTCTACGACTCCCTCCATCAAAACTTGCAATAGATGGTTGACAATGCGGCAGAGGGAGATATCGGAGCAAAAACGGCTGGAGAGATGTTCGACATTTTCGAGACAATAAGCACGAATTCATCGCAGAAGAGCAGCCGAGGGAAGAGAGTGATAGTAAACGAGGTCGGGCAGGGCAACAATATGATGGCCCAACAGTTACCGAGCTCACAGAGCAAATGCGTTTACTAACGCACGAGGAGCTCAGCCGGTTCAGACCATGTCCGTTGACACGTGTGGGGAATGTGGAGTCCAAGGGCATAGGTCTGAAGTGTGCCCTTCAAACTTCGATCAGGAGTTCGGTGAGCAGTATGCAGATGTCAGCGCTTTACAGGGACATCAAACCCCGCCTGGCAATGACCCGTTTTCAAACACGTACAACCCGGGATGGAGGAATCATCCGAATTTCTCCTGGTCGAACAACACGAACTCCCTCCAGCAACCCGTCCGAATTTCATGCAGAAGCAACCTCGACCCAACTTCATTCCCCGTCCAAACTACCAGAAACAGCAGCAGCGGAGAGGACCAGAAGCCGGGATGCAAGCACCCGGAGCCGGGGCGAGTTCATCCCTCCAAGACGACAAGCTCGACAAGTCCTCCAGTTTATCACGAACCAAGATGCATCCATCAAGCGTCTTGAGACACAAGTGGGCCAACTGGCCACTAGGGTCGGAACCATCGAGACTGAATTGAACAAGGGGAAGTTTCCTAGTCAGCCGGAGTATGTGAATGCAGTGACTATGATTTTGCCCGACATTGAGAGGGAGATCGTAGGAGACAAGAAGAAAGAAGGAAAAGAGGGCCCAAAGAAGCAAGAAACCCCAGTGACACCACTGGCTGAGCCAACCTTACACAAATCTCCAAACCCATACAGGCCGAAGATTCCCTTTCCAGGCCGACTTTTGGAGAAGAAGAAAGAAAGAGACCCCGGTGGGTTTGTGATCAATATAACTTTTGGGAGTGGGAAAGATGCTTCGGGGATGCTAGACCTTGGGAACGACATTAATCTGATGCCTCTCTCTATCTATCGGACACTTGGACTCGGTGGTCTGAGGTCCACCAGGATGCGTCTACAGCTTGCCGATCACTCACTCCGTCAACCCGAAGGGATTGTGGAAGATGTCCTGGTAAGAGTGGGGAAGCTGAAAGTCCCTGTTGATTTTGTGGTTCTTGATGTGGGGATTGTTAGTCAGAACGGCCATCGGCACACCATCCTCCTCAGACGACCCTTTATGGTGGCCACCAACACAGTAATTGATGTGAGAAAAAGGACTGCAAGCATGATTGTGTTGGGAGAATCTACCTTCATCTTCGTCCGAGGGTCCCAGTTTGAGCCGCAGAGGCCATTGCAGGGTCATCTCCATACCAACCGTCGCACTGCTCCCTCCCGGCTGAGTTCGATGAAGCTGCCCCAGTCCCACTGGGGAGAGAGATATGATTTGTCAGACGTCCGCCACTGTTTGGGGCCTGACTATCTCCATCCTCAGCCTGCACCACCGAATTCACAGTGACTATTTTAGTCACTGTGCTCTGTACGATTGTATCTTTCCCTTTTTCTTTTTGCATTTGGTTCTATTTTTCTATTTTTCTTTTTCTGATTCATAGGTAAATTTTCCATTATGGTTTTGCAGGTTAATTAAGTTCTTTTTATTAAAAANACAGAAATAAAAAAAAGAAAAAAAAAATTCGGTTTGTCACGACTCGCGAGACCATGTCGCGAGTCGCGAGTTAACCCATGAAATATGTCTATCGGTCTCTGTTTTTTTTCGTGAGTCGCGGAACATGATCGCAACTCGCGAGTTGTCCCACAATATATTGCTATCGCACTCTGTTTTTTTGGCGACACGCGAGAAATGTCGCGAGTCGCGACCTACCAATCTATGTCGCGACATGATGTCGCGACTTACCTGCTACTTAAATTGACGGGCTCGTTTCTTTTGTGCAGGAATACCCTCTTTCTCTCGCAATACCCTATCACTCTCGCGACCGACGACCCTAACCCCCAATTTCGTCCATTCCGACCAGCACCACCGGCAGCCACCAACTCCGACCACCGGCGCTTCGTTCACCTCTGTCCCTTAGCACCTCAATCTCGACCTCGCACAACTTTCTCTCTCCCTCTCGCGACGCGGTTTAGAGAACCCTAGTTCGATTCCTGTCAATTCCGACCTCCGATTAGCTTCTTCCGACGTCCTCTACACACGACCACCTGCTCATCAGCGACCTTCACCACCGGCAGAATCGCGCTTCCCTGCGACCACTTGCTCACTCTCAACCGCTCGCGACAGCTCACGCCCAGCCACCGCCGTCAACTGCTCGCCTCCGGCCAGCGCCAACACCCCTCCGTTCACCTGCTCGCCGGCGTCCACCTCCTCTGACCAACAGCGGCCACCAAGCACCTCCTTCGACATCCACTGCCAGCGATTTTTCTACATAATCATCTTCACAGCTCGGCACCATTTTCGGGTAATTGTGCTTTCTCCTATTGTGACTGAGAATAATTTCGTTGTTTGGGGTTGGTTGGGCGATTCTGAGGTGACATAACGGCACATTTGAGCTCCATATTCTTGTCTTCACTACAACTCCAAAGAGGAGTTCTTGCCCCTTCAGTGCTCGACAAATTGCCTAAGTGAAGTTAGTGTTCAAAATGGTGAAAAAGGGCATCGGCAACAAACGAAAGAAGACTGTCGAGGAATTCTCTTCCTCTCGGGACAAGACGGTCGATTAACGGGCCGACTACAATGCCCCCTTTACTATTCTTTCGGAACGAGAGGGGGAGGTTTATGCCCGGCTCACGAAGAAGGATGTCTTGAAATCAAAGACGTTCGACTTCGCCTTGCTCTCCGATCTTGGGATTTTAGAGACCATCGACTCCTACCTTGACAGCGCTGCGCTTGAAGACTTACGCCCGCTTGGTCCACCCGACATACCGGTACCTCACACTCGAGTTCTTCAGTACACTCAAGATTTCGTTGACCGAGGATTATATGACGTGCTGTCTCCTTGGGACACGGAGGATCATCACTGACGACGTCATGAAAGATGTCGTGGGCCTCCACCGTGGCGACGCGAGGATGAATGAAGGAATGAATCCTGATATTTTCTGACCCCAGCTTTCTCCCGACACGTTGTGGGACTCGCAGGGCTTGGCTAATAGCCTCATCAAGGATGGTGTTGTCTGTGATGCACAAATTTCTGTGCTATGGTGTGTTCGGGAAGAAGGAGGCCAACAAGGTCACTCAGATTGACCTCGCCCTGCTGTGGGCTATGCTCGAGGGGAAGAAACGAGATATATTGGATATTTTTAAGGAGGAGTGCCGAGCCGTCATTCGAAACAAGAGAGCGGCAGCCTGCTTTGGTCATATAGTGACCGCTCTGGCTTTGCACTTCCACGTTGACCCGGAGGCGTCTGGCAGCCTTCCTACTCGTATGCGGTTCATTGACTCCTACGAGCTGAGTCATTCGGGCCTAATCCGTGATCGTCGCACCTTTGAGGCCTATACAGAGCGCCCGGCCTACGCCGCTTATATGAAGAAGGTGGGTGCGGCCACTTCCACTGCTCAGGCAGGCTCGTCTCGTCCTCAGCAGGAGACCGAGGATACTCACGAGACAGAGGCGATGGAGCACGATCAGGCTCTTATCGACGAGGACCATCACCTTACGCCTCCTATTGATTGGCAACCGACCCCGGAGGCAGATTCCTGGGAGCCACGAACCACCCGTTCGCAGCAGCGACCAGCGGGTACGTCTGCACCGCCTGCTTGGTGGTCCCAGCCTCTTCCGTGGTGGACGGCGTTCGAGGACCGCTACGATCGGGACATGCGCGACCTTAGTGCCCGGTTCGACATTGCCTACCTCCGCTTTCAGGCTATAGAGGCATGGCAGACCTAGTGGGACGTGCAGTTTGCACAGTGGAGCTCCAGCACCGGCCATCCCTATCCTCCTCCTCCTGCACCACAGTGAATTGTCACTGTGTTGGTTGGCTTTTCTTTTTCTTTTCTCTTTATTCGGTTTATTTTTGTACTTTTCACTTCTTTGTTGTGTCGTGTCGGTTGATTATGTAGTTCGCCTTCCTTACACTACGGATCGACAATGGGGACATTGTCTGATTTTAAGTGTGGGGTAGTTTTCTGTGGCTATTTGGTTGACCAGGTCTAGTTTTTGTTTTAGGATGTGTCTTTATTTCTTTCTCTTGCTTGGTGGACCGGTCTAGTGTAGGTTTTATGTGTTTTGGAGTCTGTACTTGGAAAATTCATGATGAGTTGAGACGTGTTTAATGAATTCGATGAGTTGTGATGTTGGTATTATATGGCATAGAGTGATGAAATGCTTGGTTAATGGCTTTGATTGACATTCATATATTTGCCTAGTGAGGCTTGAGGCTTATTTTTTTCTTGAGATACATTGGTCGTGCTCTTGTTTGATTAGAACTTGCCCTGAGTCTGCATCGAAATGAATCAATTTGGGTTATGAACTGTAAATATGATTAAGGCATTTTTTGTATTTTTCTATCCTTGTTTTTTTTGCAGTTATTCCCTAGTTGCCCTTTTGAGTCTAATTGTTTCTTTTATATAACCTCGTGATGATGACATTGTTGAGTCTCGGGTTGAGAATGGGAGGGGATAATTGTAGAGTTTTGTTTATATTTCCGAAAAAAAAAATGTAGCCAAATGGATTGTAAAAAAAAGGGTTGCACAAAAAAAAAAAGAGAAAAATAAGAGCAAACAAAATAAGTTGGGTAAACGTGTGTTTTTAGGAGAAGTGTGGGGGAAGATCCGGTTTGTTTGAGCAACCGGTTGAGCGTGCATTCGTGGGTTAGGAGTTTGAGTTGTATTCGAGCCACTTAGCCTATACTTATCCTACATGTCCAAAGAGCCTACGTTACAACCCTGAAAGACCTTTTGATTCACTAGTTTCGATTTTGATTGATTTAGAGTATGATATAGCCACATAAGGATACCCCGGTCCAGAAGCTCCTTGCTCAACCAGCGAACCACTTGAACTACTCGCAGTCGACATGACTCCGTCGACATGCCCAAATCGACTTCCCTAAGGTCGATTCTACTAAGAGCAATCGAGAAATTGGCCTAGTCGACTCTTCTAAGTCGACCTTAGTCTATCGACTTTTACTAGTCGATATCAGTAAAAGAAGGGCAACAAGAGTATTAACGCCCGAGCATCCCGATATCCTAAGTCGACTCTCATCAGTCGACTGAACTAAGACGACTTCTCCTCGAAGAATTAGTCAAGAGTAGCCTCTGAATCCACATATATCCACGAGTCGACCTCCTAGCTTTCGAAGTCGACCTCGCATACCTCGAATAACAAAGATATGATGACGACTCGTCACACTTGCAACATACTTAAAGTTCTACACATTACAAAGGATAAGAAGGAATCTGGTGATGACTCAGCAACAAGGGGAGACGAATCGACCAGGGCATTTTGGACCTTCTAGGTCCACCGACTTGGGTATTTTGGGCACTTCACGTAAGTATCCACTCCTATATAAAGGAGATGAGGTAACCCTAAACCCTAACTCTGATTCATTCCCACTCTCCCCAGTAGCTGCTGCGCAGCCTCTCTTCATCACTCACATACTGACTTGAGCGTCGGAGGCTCTACACTGGAAACACCTCCGGCGTTGAGTTTTTGCAGGTATTCTCGCGGTCTAGCAACGAATTGGAGGCGGTTCAAGCAGATCTGAGCTCATAACCACCGGTTTACTTCAGATCTGGAAGTAGACTCATCATTTGGCGCCGTCTGTGGGGAGCTCTTAAAGGAAGGAAGAGCTTCACACCCAGCTCCGATCTGTTTGCTGATGGCGGAGAAGGAAGGCTTGCAGAGGAACTTGAGCGAGGAGTTTAGAGGGACGTGGATGGATAAGAGGCCACCGCCGCTCTCCACCACCAAACATCCCGTAATGCAGATGATGGGAATGCCACCTGGCGGAGGACTTCCACCACCAGGACTGACGTTGGGCGGAGAAACGCCTGTGACTCCAACCGGCGTGAAGCTACAAGTGTTGACCCAGGCAGGAACAAGTCAAAACCCTAACCCAGATAGGGAGAAGGAGCCAACGGAGGTCTCTCGACGCGAGGGAAAACAGATACAGGGGTTCCGGAACAGACACAACCCCGCGTCGAGGAACAGACTCTGACAATGACGAGGAGTGAGATGCAAAAGATGATTGCTGAAGCCGTGGCGGCCCAGATGAAGAAGATAGCGCCGGTAGAACAGCAGCCTCGAGTCGAGTACCCCCCTCGAGTCGAGCAGCAGCCGCGTGGCGAGCAACAAGCCCAGTCGAATGTACAACAGAACAGAAGGATAGATGAAGAGGAATCCTCCATTCGAACTGTTAATCCACAGGCGAGGGACGAGACGTTAGAGCAACTATTGGCACAAGTTCGTGACTTGCAAGCTCGAGTCGGTGCGAGAAAAAGCAGAGGAGCGAAAGAACACCCATTCTCGCAGCAGATCCTGAGAGCCGACTTGCCCAAAGGCTTTAGGGAGTTGAACATATGGTATGACGGTACCACAGACCCGTCTCGACATCTGAGGAGTTTCAAAAATATGGCAGTACTTCATCGCTACAGCGACCCAGTGCAATGTCGCGCTTTCTTGACGACTCTGACAGGGTCAGCTCAGGACTGGTTTCACCAACTTCCAGCGGGGTCGATTAGGGACTTTGATGGATTTAGCTCGAGTTTTCTTAACCAATTTGCAAGTGTGAGAGTGTAAGAGAAATCCTATCTCTCGTTGATAAGTATGCAGCAAAAGAAGGGAGAGTCGCTGCGAGAGTATGTGGCGAGGTTTACAAAGGCATGTGTCGAGTGCCCAACAGCGACAGAGGAAATCAAATCGGGAGGACTGACGAGTGGGCTACTGCCAGGGTTATGTAAGAAATCTTTGGCCAAGCGACCTGGTAGGAGTTTCGATGACGTGTTGGGAAGATGCGCCAAATATATGAATGTCGAGGAGGCCGAAGCCGATTATCTGCAAAATGTGAAAATACCCCAAACTGACAGTCGAGACGATAAGAAGGAGAAGAAAAGCCAGTCGACAGGGGAAAGAGGGGGATCACCACGAGCTGACAAGGGTGAAGGACGATACAGAGGATGGAGGCCGACTCAATACACACCCCTGTCGGCTCCTCATGCAAGAATACTGAAAGTCATGGAAAGAGAGATCCGTGACGATGTGGTGAGATGGCCATGAACAAGGAAAGATGGACCAGTAAGGCCCAAGAGTAATTTATACTGTCGATTCCACAAAGATTACGGCCACGACACTGATGACTGCAGACACCTTAAAGACGAAATCGAAAGGTTGATAAAGGCAGGACACTTGAAGGAGTTCATATACAAAGACCGTGAGAGGTCGAGCAAGAGGAGAGAGAGAAGCAAGAGCCCTCGCAAGAGGGAAAGATCACCAGAGAGAGAGGAGCTCCCACCAAAAAGGGGAGTAATTAATATGATTTTTGGAGGGTCAACAGACGGGGACTCGAACCAAGCAAGGAAAGCGTATGCTCGAGGTTGATATGGAAAGGTCGAAGTGCAGCAAGTCGATGAATGCGGACCAGTAATGAACTTTGGACCTGCGGACGTTGGAGAAGTCGAGAGACCACACAATGATGCCCTAATGATAACCGCACAGATATCAGGATACGAGGTGCAAAGGGTGTTCGTCGACACCGGAAGTTCTGTAAACGTGATTTTCTATGAATGTCTCAGAAGGATGGAACTCGACATTGAACTTACGCCTCTACAAACATCACTCTTTGGATTTAACGGATTAGAAGTCGTTCCCCTAGGAGAAACAACGCTCGCCGTCGTCCTGGGGGAAGGCGACTTGAGAAAGGTAAAAATGGTGAAATTTGTCGTGGTCGACGTCGAGTCAGCGTATAACGTAATCCTCGGGAGGCCGGCGCTCAATGCCTTCCAAGTGGTGGTGTCGACTTATCACATGAAATTGAAGTTTCCCATTGGAGATCGAGTGGGAGAGGCTCGAGGGGACCAAGAATTGTCCAGAACATGCTATCGGATCGCGGTTAAAACTAACCAGCGGGCTGAGATCAAGGAAGGCAAAAAACCAATGTCGAATGAAAAGAGGCCGAGAGAGAGTGACCTCGAGCCCATGGAGAGTTGATGGAAATTCGAATAGGTGAAATGGAGGACCAGACGACCAAACTCGACAACTCCCACGATCCTGGCACGAGATCCATCTCAAATGCTTTTACGCTTAAGGCAATGTCTCAAACTACCCTTTGTACTGAACGATGTTTGAATTGAATTCAATAATGGAATGAATCTTAAAGCTTATGCTTCAATTACGTTTTTTATATTTATGCGTCGACTTTATTATGATTACATGAAAAATTGAATTTTCAAAACGGCTATAAAGCCGGCTAACTCCAATGATTATGAAATCATTTAGCACAACTACGAAGTTGCAAACTCTCGAGCGGAATCTCGAGCAGGCTACGAAGCCTTCGACTACGAAGTCGATTCACGCAACTACGAAGTTGTAAACTCTCGAATGGAATCTCGAGCAGGCTACGAAGCCTTCGACCACGAAGTCGATTCACGCAACTACGAAGTTGCAAACTCTCGAGTGGAATCTCGAGCAGGCTACGAAGCCTTCGACTACGAAGTCGATCCACGCAACTATGAAGTTGCAAACTCTCGAGTGGAATCTCGAGCAGGCTACGAAGCCTTCGACTACGAAGTCGATCCACGCAACTACGAAGTTGCAAACTCTCGAGTGGAATCTCGAGCAGGCTACGAAGCCTTCGACTACGAAG